TCCCGGCTCGTCCATCCATCCCGTGTTAAATTCGTTTCCCCGACGGGCTCCAAATACGCCAGAGGCGCCACGCACTTCGTCCAACATCCTAGAAGCATGTCGCGAAATGGCGTAATGTAAGCAATGCAAATAACGTAACCAATTGCTCTTGTTTGGACCGTTTTTAACAGCGTCGTAAATATTGTTGAAGTTTTTAAGTTTTTTATTTGGTGTTTAACCCTTTCCACCATTTTGTTACTTATCATTTTCAATGAGGTTATTGATTGTTAATATAATTTTTACGATATAAACACAATTTTAGGTTTTAGTTTCCACATGGTGTGATCATTTTATAATTCTAACATGTCATATACTCTCAAATCATTGTCTAAATGAAATGTATGTAAAATCATGTTCAATGTTTTAACGTTATTTAAAGTAATGAATAGAACTTGCTTTATGTTGTTTAAATCATGTTGATTAAGTAATTTCTGGTCATTTGTGTAAGCTATTCCAAGGTCTTGGCTATTTCAATGATATATTATGTAAAAAAAATATTAATTCTACATTCTTCTATTAATTCTTCTATTAAATCTCACACAGATGACCTTGTTCACTTTGTCACTACGAAATAATTTTGTTCCAGTGTACATGCAAGTCATTAGCCTGATGGAGACAATTGACCTCCGAAACGTCGCCAATAATGAATGTTTTGTGTCAAGAACGACGTTGATGCAATAAGCTAAGGCTGTCTATAAACAACATATGGAATTTTATATAATTTTATTATCTATATTTAACTGATAGACTTTTGGTTTGATGATAATATAACAAGGCTACACTCAGCTCATGCTGCGATACCATTCTTTTTGTTTTATGTTTATAATTGTTTTCAATTAACAAAATTAATAGTAACAGAAAAATTTTAGGGGGGAATTCTCTCATTTTCCCTCCCTGTGGATCCGTCTCTGCTTATCCATTGATATAATGTTTGTTGGATTGTTTCTTTTCAGAATCTAAAAATTCTAAAATAGTCTGAACGAAATATTACCAGATTCTTACTATATTCCAGTTCTCATTATCCGCGCACCCACAACGTTTTCTGAAATCTTGGATTTTGTCTCTCGTTTTCCAAAGTACCAGACACTCTTATTACAATCTCTTGCTGTTCAGGCCTGCTATCACCCAGTTCTCTACGCTGCGCACAGGCCTCCGGCGCCGCCCGAAGATATACAACCCGCATCACAGCAATGACCTCCGGAGATCTGCCCATCCCTTCCCCTCCCCTCCCCACCTTCTCCGATTACACTATCCCCGTTCATTCCGTCCTTCCCAATAAACCAATCCCCACGACCACCGTCTTCGACCCTCTCACTCCCCCCCCCTGCTACTCCGTCTCGCCAGAGCTCGGGTGCCAGGAATTCAATCTACATAAATGTCCTCAGTACATCTCGTCCAAATCTCTTAACCGCAATTGCTTCTAATCCCCAATGCGCGCCTATTTCCCGTGCGACACCGGGCAACGTCGTGCCGAAAGGACCGATTACGGGGGGAGCGGGGGCCCCTGCCGGCCGAGTTTCCAGAGAGTTGGCAATATTCCGAGAAGGCCGCCCCCGGCGTATAAGCTCACGCCCCGGAAGCTGCGAATACGCGTCTCTTAATCTCGTTTGCGCGTACGCCTCGGGTGCCGGCCGGCCGGCCCACCCGCCCTTCGTCTCTCTTACGACCCTGACCCTTCGCCCCCCCCCCTCCGTAATACCCGCGGCAACCTACCCCACGCGGCCGGCCTCTCCCCCGTCGTCGCATACGAGAAGACTCCTCGGGTACGTGGTCATTAGCGCATAACAGTTTGCTAATTTTACCAGAAACTGAATTTAATTTACTCCTACAATGGGAATCTATGACAATGCACCTTCATTTCGAGCATCTGCGGAGGTGGAGGAGGAGAGGATGAAGAGGGGGGAGGCCGCCAGATGGGGCGCTTAGCGCTGGTCCGCTGCGCCCAAATGGCTTTCCTCTCTTCAATGGGCCCTCCGCCTCCTCCGGATAAAGAGGAATCTTATTGGTCGAAACGTGTGACGCTAAGCCAGGGCTGCGGAAGGGGCCTCTTTGTGCTTCTCGCGGCCTCCTCCCGCCCGAGGCGCCGCCTTCGGAACGGACGTTAATCTATTAAAACAATGGCCGAACTGTAATCAATGCCTCCTCGGCGTTGTTACTGGCTTCGGTTTGCTCGCGCCGCCGTTCCCGCTTCGTCCGCTTTAACCGGGGGCCGGAGGCGGAGAGGGAGATGTGGTGGGAAGCCAATATTGACTCGCGGAGGCACGCACGTCTTGGGCTGCCTTCTCAATCTCAGCTCATACGCACGTAATGGATCCGAACTTAAACAGAACGATCGTTTAGCAGTGGCGCTTGGCTCTTGACAATTCTCATCTGCGCGTACCCGACAAACAGGGTCCCCTTGATACTTCAGAATCCTGTTCGGAAGTTGCGCGAGGTGAGTGAATGGAGGATGGGGTACGGTAAGTTTCTCTCGTTGGATCATCGGTGCAACGAAACACAATGAAATGTTTGATCTGTACGACGATGTCTTTCCGATTCTGCCAGACGCAGGCTGCGTTTTCTCTCAACAGCAAGAGAAAATGGAAATATCATGCGTCAATAAAATAACATACAACTCTCTGTCATAACTGATATATCTCTTGAATACATTTTTCATATACCTCATCTGGAATAGACTTTAAAACACTGCTTTGTAAAGAAGTAAATTGTAGTTATAATTTAATACGAAAGTCTGAAAATTATCAGTAATAATATAATAATATAATAATATAATAATATAATAATATAATAATATAATAATAATATAATAATATAATAATAATATAATAATATAATAATATAATAATAATAATAATAATATAATAATATAATAATATAATAATAATAATAATAATAATAATAATAATAATAATAATATAATAAATTATACTATTTTACGCAATGAAGAAAAAACTGCCTTTAAATACATTTTGAAATCCTTCTCAGAAACATTGCATAAAACGATGCCTCGGGTCACAATTACTTTACAGGGTATAGATATATTTCTCCCCATTCCTACTTCAATGACATAGGAATATTATGATATTACCGGTTTGTAAAGTATTGACAGTAACTGCGACTATTATTCATCAAACATCTTTCAAAAATTGCAGTAATTTCAATACTT